CCTCCCCACACCCCCACTCCACTCACCTTCTCGAGCTCCTCCTCCACTGTGTGCGCGATCTCATTCTTCACCACCTTCCATCAAACTTCGCCACGAACCCCTCCCCGCACCTCCACTCTCACGCCCCACCACACCCCCACCTTCTCAAGCTCCTCCTCCACTGTATGAGCAATCTCGTTCTTCACCTCAAACACACGGTCCAGATCCATCTTGGGCACACTGGCGCGCACCACTGCCGGGAAGAGCAAGGAGAGGGCGGAAAGGAACGGGGAAAGCGGGAATTGGAGGAGAGGAGAAGAATGAAAGATCTCGCTTTTCATCTCAAACACACGGTCCGGATCCATCTTGGGCACACTGGCGCGCACCACTGAGAGGGGAGCAACAGGAGGGGGGAAGAGGGGAAAGGGGAATTGGACTGGAGGGGAAGGATGAGCAATCTCGTTCTTCATCTCAAATACACGGTCCAGATCCATTTTGGGCACGCTCGCGCGCACCACTGCGGGGTGTAGGTGAAGGGGGGAACAGAAAATAGCGAATTAAAAACACGGTGCGAAAGCAAACTCCGAAGACTAAAACAATGACAAGAAGTACATCATAATCGCAATGTTTCAGATGCATCGGCCACAGTAGATCGCGAACGCTGCAGCACTCACCGTCGAAGACGTATGATCGAATCTGCGCCTGGGGATCCTGCAGCTTGTAAAAGGCGTCCTCGATCTGCTCGCGAATCGCCTGGTACTGTATCGATGCGACCACAGTGACGAACACGTTGTCCTGAAGCGGAAAAGCCAAAAACGGGGATACAAAGAAAAGGCAAAGAGTGGTGAGGGTCCTGAGCTTGTACAACACGTCGTCAATCTGCTCGCAAATCGCCTGGTACTGTATCGACGCGACTACAGTGAGGAACACGTTGCCCTGAAGCGGGGAACGGGTGAATAAAGATGACATGACGAAACGGCAGCAGTATGAGGGGACACAACTATGGCACCACGATGTTTAGAACTGAGTTTCAAAAGTATTTTGTGACTGGCGGTGACGTCGTTCCTTGCTGGCGTCGTTCCTTGCCATGATTGGTGGTGTAAATATTCGAAGCGACACTTTGAACCTCGCATCATGAGCTTGCGGCACGCAGCACCGTGCCGCGAGCTCATGAGGCAAGGTTAAGATTTCGCTTCGCAGTGGCAGCCTTCATCCCCTTTCACCGACCTCCCCTCTCTCGAAAGCACCGTAGCACGGTTACCAGCCTCACCTTGGTTTTGGTTTCGCAGCGCGCGTCGAGTTGGCGCACGCGGAGGCTCCTGACATGAGCTCCGCGTGGTGGTAGCAGTAGCACCACGGCACGCAGTGACAGCCCTCTTCCCCTTCCCTCAACTTACCCTCTCCCGTAAACACCGAAGCACAACGGTAGTACTAGCAATACCTTGGTTTTGGTTTCGCAGCGCACGTCAAGTTGGCGCACGCGGAGGCTCATGAGCCCCGCGGGCCGGTAGCAGCAGCACCACGGCACGCAGTGGCAGCCCGGGTCGAGCGCCTTCACGAACCGCCCAAAATGTTCCACCATGGCCACCGTTGATTGGTCCACCTGGAGCAGGCCGAACATCTTCTCCATGCTGGCGGCCGCGTTCTAACCACAAAATAAAATATATAAAAAACTACAACCCGTATAACAATTAGTGTAGAGAGAAGATATGTGACGAATCTAGAGATAAGCTGATAGATATGAGCCGGCGCTAGTGACGGTCGTGCGCTTCGGCAAAAGAAACGCTGTTTCGCTTCGGGTTGAGGAGGTGAGGACTTCTCAGCAACGATTCAAGACTTGCAATCGGGGTGTTGGTGGTATTTGAAGCTTGCCCAAAAAAAGAAATGCTCAGAACTCCGTGGGGGGACTGAAGTCGGAGGAAGTTGAGTGGGCAGAAAGAAGGGGTTGCTGCGGAAGAAGGGGGGGGGGGGGTGGGGGGGGGTGCCTGCGCGCACCGCATTGTTGGACAAAAGTGGAAGGGGGACACAACCTGGCGCTGATTAGGGCGCGTGTGTTCTGTTTAGAAGTTCAAAATTAAGTTCGAACTTTGGGTGGTTACCCTATTCGCTAGTTTCGCGAAGGGTGCTTCGCGAACCAAGCATTGTATGGGCTCTGCAAAAGTTCGAGTTTGAAATATGAAGTTGACTCGAGTCGGAGGCGGGAACGCGCATGCGCACGTTCATGCGAGCGTGTGTGATTTGCAGCACGTACGAACAGCTGGCGAAACGGGCGAGCGCTTCGTCAATGCATGAAGTTGCACAACGAAGACACCCCACAATTCGTGCACACAGTGGTAGCCACGTGTCCAGCATCGTGGCACGTTCGAGCACGATGTGGCAACGCGTCCCGCCCGTCTTGACGTCAGTCAAAGAAACTCCCGCCCTTGCCCAATCCACGTCCCCCGCACCAAATGTCTTTGAAATCCTGTGGGAGTGGAAAGCGGACCAGCTGTAGGGTTGTCATGTTGGGCGAATGACGAGTATACAAGGTGTTGCCACGGGAGCTATTTGTACCCTGGTTACACACTCGACGCGGAAGGTGAGTTGGAGCTCTAGGTCCTTGTAAACCGAGGCGCAAAATGTTGACGTGGCGCACTGTCAAGACGAGCGAACCGGGTAACCTATGATGTTGACGTGCGGCTCGGCTCGTTTTTACAAGTTCGAATGTCGGGGTTCGACCTTGTATGTGTGTGTGATTTTTTACAGTGTGGTAAGCCCGATGTTCGAACTTCGATAGAAGGAAATTCGAACTTCTTTCTTTGTAAGTTCAAAACTAAATTTCGCCCTCAAAACATAAACTTTTACAAATTTCAAAGACCTCACGCGCCCTTAGAGAAAGGGGGAAGTGAGGGTCAAGTTGGAGGAAAAAGGGGAAATGGCGTTCTCACACCTGGGGGAACATGGGAGGTGAGGGGAAAACGCCTCTCCCCGCCGTGCCGCGTCTCGTTTGCTGATTCGTTCCTGCATCTCACAGCGCGACGCGATTTTTGGCCCAGCTGCGCACGCAAATATAGCCTCGCAACCCCCCGGTGCATGGCATGCGAAGCTCGCCACGCGTCGGGTGTAACGAAGAACGTGGGGCTCGATGCGAGGTGAAAGGAACCTCCATTTAGGATGCCTTTGCTGGGGTTGACAGCTTTGCCAGCGAGGGACCAACACGCCGGTAACGGGATGCCAGCTATTACAAAAATAACTGCAATAAACTACGGTATGTCAGAGAAATTTTACTAGCAAAGACGAGTGTAACTGTATCATGTGTTTAAGAATGTTAGCTATTACAAAAATAACTGACAAAGTAACTGTATCATTTATTTACGAATTGATAGGGTTGACAGCTTTTCCATAAAGGGACAAACACGCGGTAACAGAATGCCAGCTATTACAAAAATAATTGACAAAGTAGGTGTATCATTTATTTACGAATGTGACTGTTAGAGAAATATGTCAGAGAAATTTCACTAACAAAGACGAGTGTAGCTGTATCATGTATTTACGAATGTTCGATTTTGCCATCATGGATGACCCTCCACGAATGGACAGCCAGCACCACATCAGACGCCTGCCTGACGTGGACTATCTTGGAAGCCAGGGAAAACGTGGCAGGACGAATCACCTGGATTACCGAGCAACTCAACTGATATATTTCGGAGCTGCTACTATCGAGTACTATCGCTCCACATGAAATAGCAGCCCATTCTAGTCGTCCCTCGAGGAGCAAGTAACTTTGTTGTAGGTCGTCGCGACGCGCAGGTACAATCTGGAGAGCTGATGTCACCAGAATAAGGCTGTGACCTTCGTATCCACTTGTCAGCTCCGACAACATCTGATAGCGCGTCTGACAGCGTCCGACAGGGTCGTCTTAGCTTTTTCCTCTGGCAGCGTCTTTTTCGCCGGCAGCCTCTTTCCGCAAAGCCCGTGTCAATGTCTCCTTCCGTCAATCTAGAACGCGCCTCGGCAACCTCCCGATACGTATATTCCGGAACCGCGCTCGACTTAGTAGAAATTCGCGCTTCCTCCGTTACGATCTCCAGCCTCTCCAGTCCGACCTTGCTACTTAATCCGCCCTCGTTAGTTAATCCACGCCGGATCAATGGCGCTCCGCCAATCGTTCCGCGGGCAGCATTCTTCGGCCGGCCATTGCTTCGCGAACCAATCAGCGGACGCCACGTGTCCCTTCCTGCAAAAGAATCGTCGGCAGCGCGAGGCAGACGGACGTCTCGCGTGAATTCCGCACGGGCGGCAGCAGGAGGCGCGCCGCAGCAGCCGCCGCAGCAGCCGGCGGACGGATCGGCGGGAGAATGGCGGCGGCGATGGGAACCGTCGGAGCGATTCGCGCTGTCGTTTGCGAGCCAGATGGGCGACGACATGGAGAAAACCGAGGCGCAGGTGGGTTGTGAAACCGAAGCGCAGTTTGACAACGGCTAAGAGATGTAAATTTAAGGGAAAGGTCAAGCCATGCGTGCTCTCGAACACGCGGGAAAAGGGCCGGAATTTCCCCGATAAAACCCCGAACCCCGTTTCGCAGTGCCCCTGTCGTTTATTACCCTATCCTCCCCTCCCTACCCCTACATTTCCCTCTCCTCAGCTCCTCCTCATCCTCAAACCCCGGACCTTAACCAGCTTCCCGCGGGGGAGTGCGTGCAGCACCCCATTTACTTCCGCCATCATCCATCCCCTCCCATCCCCTCCTTTCCTCTTCCCCCCTCCACCCCCCTCCCCCCCGCTCCCTCTGCCGCGCTTCCCCCGCCTTCCGCCTCCCCCCTTCTCCCCAATTCCTGCTCATGCGCCTGTATCCGGACCTCAACCCCCTCGTGCCTCCCTCTCCCCACCCCCCACCCCCCACCTCCCCCCATCCATCTCCCCGCCGGCTCCGCCTAATGCGCCTGTACCCGGACCTCCAAACCAGCTGTCCTCACTTACCCCCGACACCCCTTTCCGTCTTCCCCCTTCTCTCCCCCCTTTTTCGCCCCCAGCTCCTCCTAATGCGCCTGTACCCGGACCTTAACCAGCTTTCCGCGGGGGAGCGCGTGCAGCAGCGCGTGAAGCGCATGGGCGGCGACGTCCGGCAGCTAGTGGAGCAGCTGTGGGCGGAGGTGGAGGACATGGAGCGCACGCGCATGCAGACCCGGGCGGCACGGGCGGCAGGAACCGGGGGAGGAAGGAGCGGGGAAGCTTCCTCCGGGGTGGTTTCCTCTGGTGGTGGAGCGGGTAGTTCCGCCGTTACATCTCCAGTTACATATGCCGTTTCATCTTCCGACGCCAGAACTGTAACCCGCCCTGCGAAACCGAAGAGACCTGCCCCGCCCCTTGTTGCGCCGCCTGGCCACCCAGCGCGAGCCGCCGCCCAATCCCTCGCTGCTCCCCCCGGTGGAACTTCACAAACGGACAAAAGCACCCGCCCTGCTGCGGTCCCGGTTGTGATTCGGGCAGTACGACCGTCCCAGATGTATGGAGAGGCCGGGGTTAAAGACACGCTTCCCCCTGAATTCAGAGGGGTGGGTGCAATCATAGAACCAGTTAAAGTGCAGAGGAAGGGAGATGGGGGGAGAGTAGAAGCATCAGCATCAGCATCAGCATCGGCATCTGCATCTGAATTATCAACAACAGCACCAGCAGCACCATTGACCCCACCACCAAGACGACCAACACTGGCAGGGGCAGCAGGCGCTAAGGCAGGTGAACAGGTGAAAGGTGTAAGGGAGGAAACGGCGCAGCAGAAGGATGCGGAGAAGGAAGGGGAGAAAGAGAGAGAGGGGCAGACGAAGAAGAAGTTGGAGGAGGGAAGGGAGGAAGTTTTGCCGGCGTTACAGAGGCCAGTCGGGTCTGAGCGGTTTGTAAGTGTGGTAGAGGCAAGCGGGGAGTCTGATAAGGGCGTGAAAGTGAAGGCGAAGGTGCAAGAGAGGGAGGAAGTTCTGCCGTCGTTACAGAGGCCAGCGGGGTCTGGGCGGTTTGATAATGCTGCAGAGGCGAGCAAGGTCTCTTCTGACAAGGGCGTGCAAGGGGAGGCGATGGGAGGAAAGGCGAAGAAGGCGAAGAAGGGGAAGAAGGGGAACAAGGGGAAAGAGGAGAGGGAAGAGGTGATGCCCGTGTTGCAGAGGCCAGCAGGGTCCGTGCACGCGGTAGAGGCGAGCAGCACAGTGGTGGTTGAGAAGGGCGTGGAGGGGGAACGACCTGCAGAGAAGAAGAAGGACGAAAGGGAAGTCGTCCTGCCGGCGTTACAGAGACCAGTGGGGGGTTCAGGGGGGGCTGTGAGCGCTGACGAGGCCAGCAGGGTGCCTGTCAAGGGCACGACAGGGGAGACAATGGATGGGAAGACGAGGGAAATGGCGAAAGAGGAGGAGAGGGAGCAAGTCCTGCCGGCTTTACAGAGACCAGTGGGGGGTTCAGGGGAGGCTGTGAGCGCTGACGAGGCGAGCAGGGTGGAGGGGGAGACGATGGATGGGAAGACGAAGAAGAAAGAGAAGGAGAGAGAGCAAGTCTTGCCAGCGTTACAGAGACCAGTGGGGGGGAAGGTTATTGGGATTGCTGATGCAGGTCAAAGGACCAGCGAGGGCGCTGGAAAAGAGATTGCAGCAGCAGGAGTAGCAGAAGCAGCAGGAGCAGCAGAAGCAGCAGGAGCGGTAGCAGGAGCAGGAGGAGGAGGAGGAGGAGCAGCAGCGAAAGGAGAGGGTGAAGGAGAGACGATGGGCCCAGTGCAAAAGGCGGAAGTGAAGAAAGTGACTGTAACGAAGGCCCCTTCACGCCCACACAACGCTGCTGCTGCTGCTGCTGCCAACGTTGCTGCCAACGTTGCTGCCAACATTGCTGCCAGTGTTGCTGGTGATAGTGAAGATCCGGCAGCAGGGGAGTGGTCTGCCACGGTGCAGGAGGCAGTGCGGCGGGAAGAGGCGAGGGAGAGGAGGCAAGCAGCACTGCTGCAGTCGATGCCTGCACCTGCTGCCACCACCGCTACTGTTGCTGCTGTGGCTGCTGCAGACGCTGAACCTTTAGAGGTTGCAGAGAAACGGTACGCACAGCCCCTCCCCCCCCTCCCCTCCCCTCCCCTCCCCTCCCCTCCCCTCCCCTCCCCCCCCCCTCCCCTCCCCTCCCCTCCCCTCCCCTCCCCTCCCCTCCCCTCCCCTCCCCTCCCCTCCCCCGGCCTCTCTCCACCCGCACACCCCCACTTCCCTCCCAAGTTCTCCGAGTGCCAGAATGCAGCAAGGCAAGGCCGCCGTGAAACTCTTGTCAGAAGAGCACAGAAGAGGACAGGTGGTGTTGTGGCGCCTCAAAAATCGTGCCAGAATGCACCAAGGCCTCCTTAAACCACCTGTCCTCCTCTGGCTTTTTTTTTTGTTTTGAGACGTCTCGTCACCCCGTCTGTCTTCTCTCCGTCGTCTCCCCTCTCCACCTGGATTTGTCAGTCGTAATCCGACCCCTTCCCCCCTCCCCCACCTTCCCACCCTCATTCTTTCCCCCACCGCTCCCCCAAGCCTGGGACCATCAGCAACCCCCAGGCTGTGACGCCTATCCCCAAGGGCCTTCCCCCCGTTGTCACCCCTCCGCCTGTCGACCTGCGCCGCACCCATCCTGATTTCTTTCGCCCTCCCTTCCCCCCCAAACCCTGTTCTTTCCACCACTCCAGGCCTTCCAAGCCTGGGACCACCAGCAACCCCCAGGCTGTGACGCCTATCCCCAAGGGCCTTCCCCCCGTCGTCACCCCGCCACCTGTCGACCTACCAGTCTCTCAGTCACTCACCCCTGTTCTCTCCCCCACTGCAGGCCTTCCAAGCCTCTGAACACCAGCACCCCCCAGGCTGTGACGCCTATCCCCAAGGGCCTTCCCCCAGTTGTCACCCCTCCACCTGTCGACCTGCGCCGCACCCGTCCCGACTCCCCCCGCCCGCCCCTCCCCCCCAAACCACGCCCTTTCCTCTCCTCGCCTGCCCCCGCCCCGCCTCCTGGTGCTGAAGCTGTTCCTGTCTTTGCTGATGCCGCTTCTGCTCCTGCTGCTCCCTCTGCGCCTGCTCCTCCTTCTGCTGCTCCTGCTGCTGCTGCTCCCACCACTGCAACTGCCTCTTCCGCTGCTGATGGTGCTGGTGCTGATACCACTTCACTAAGTGCTGCTGATTCCCATAGCAGTGATGATCTGCTAAAGGGCATTAAACTGTGGGGCCTCAATACTTCTCCTGAGGTAAGATGCACTTCTACCCTTTTGAATTGTGTTGGTCATTGCCTTTACCCCTCATTTTTATTATTTCTTCTCTTCTACCCCTTCATCATTCCACTCCGTTCACCAAATAATTCTGCATTCCCCAAATAGTTGTGCGTACACACACACACACAAAAAAAAAAAAAAAAAAAAAAAAAAAAAAAAAAAAAAAAAAAAACACCCATCATTCATGTCTGCGTCCAATCCATACTCACCTTTCAAAATCATGTTCATGTTCATGTCTGTGCCACATGGCACATGGCAGGAGGAGAAGGTGATTCAGCAGGCAGAGAAGGAGCGCACAACAGTGCCAGCCAAGGTCGTCACCTGCAACCACGGCGGCCTCGTGGTAAGCTGCTTGCCCGCCTGCTTGCCCGCCTGCTTGCCCGCCTGCTTGCCCGCCTGCTTGCCCGCCTGCTTGCCCGCCTGCTTGCCCGCCTGCTTGCCTGCCTGCTTGCCCGCCTGCTTGCCCGCCTGCTTGCCCGCCTGCTTGCCCGCCTGCTTGCCCGCCTGCTTGCCCGCCTGCTTGCCCGCCTGCTTGCCCGCCTGCTTGCCCGCCTGCTTGCCCGCCTGCTTGCCCGCCTGCTTGCCCGCCTGCTTGCCCGCCTGCTTGCCCGCCTGCTTGCCCGCCTGCTTGCCCGCCTGCTTGCCCGCCTGCTTGCCCGCCTGCTTGCCCGCCTTCTTGCCCGCCTGCTTGCCCGCCTGCTTGCCTGCCTGCTTGCCCGCCTGCTTGCCCGCCTGCTTTCCTGCCTGCTTGCCCGCCTGCTTGCCCGCCTGCTTGCCCGCCTGCTTGCCCGCCTGCTTGCCCGCCTGCTTGCCCGCCTGCCTGCCCGCCTGCTTGCCTGCCTGCTTGCCTGCCTGCTTTGTTGTGAGTCTCGCTGCAGGCCTAGTTCCAGACCTTGCTTCAGGCAGTGAGGGAGCGAGCGCACAACAGTCATGGCCAAGGTTGTCACCTGCAACCATGGCGGCCTTGTGGTAAGCTGCTAGCCCGCTGCCTGCTAGCCCGCTGCCTGCTAGCCCTCTGCCTGCTAGCCCGCTGCCTGCTAGCCCGCTGCCTGCTTGCCCGCTGCCTGCTTGCCCGCTGCCTGCTTGCCTGTCAGCCTGCTTTCCTGTCAGCCTTGCTTCCACCCTTGCTTCAACCCTTGCGTCTCTCTCCCAATCACCCGCCCACCTTCTCCCTCCCATTCTCCCGCCCACCCCCCCCTCCTCTCTCCCATCTTCAGCTCTCACTCAACGGCATGCAAGCCCTCCTCCCAACTAACTAGCTACATGCACACGGAGCTGCGCTGATGTAGCTTCAAACCTAGCCTCAATCCCAACCTCCCACTCTCCTCTTCCTCCCTTTCTCCCCTCCGCTCTCTCCCCCCCATTCCTCCAGCTCTCCCTCAACGGAGTGCAAGCCTTCCTGCCTGCCAGCTACATGCACCCGGAGCTGCATAGCTGGAACTTCAAGCCTTGCTTCCGGCGTTGCTTCAATGTCCCAATCACCTGCCCACCTCCCCTTTCCCCCCACCCCTTATCTTCAGCTTTCACTCAACAGTGTGCAAGCCTTCCTCCCTGCCAGTTACATGCACCTGGAGCTGCACCGATGGAGCTTCAGACCAAGACTCACATTTTGAATAAATCCCCCCTCTCTATATCTGTCCTCCTTTTTCCCCGTTCTCCATTTCCCAGCTTTCACTCAACGGCGTACAAGCCTTCCTCCCAGCCAGCTACATGCACCCGGAGCTCCGCCGGTGGAGCTTCCGAGGCTGGCTCCGAGCCAACGGGCACGACCCGAACCTGTTTGGGGCGCGGGAGGAGAGTGGTGGGGGGGAGGGGGGAGGCAGGGGAGGGGAGAAATGGAAGGCATGGAACAAGGGGAAAGAAGGGAAAAAGGGGGAAGAGAAGGAAGAGGGGGGAGAAGAGGGGAGAATGGAAGGAGAGGGGGGAGAGGGAGAAGAGCGGGCAGTTGGAGGGGAGGGTGTGGAGACCTTGAGGGTTCAGCTGAGTGAGCAGTACACTCAGGAGAAACTCGCTCTCTTCTCGTCCTATGTGGGGGAGGTGAGACTTGCCCTCTTCTTGTCCTATGTGGGGGAGGTGAGACTTGCCCTCTTCTTGTCCTATGTGGGGGAGGTGAGACTTGCCCTCTTCTCGTCCTATGTGGGGGAGGTGAGACTTGCCCTCTTCTTGTCCTATGTGGGGGAGGTGAGACTTGCCCTCTTCTTGTCCTATGTGGGGGAGGTGAGACTTGCCCTCTTCTTGTCCTATGTGGGGGAAATTGCCCTCTTTTTTTGGAAATGATCATTATTCCCCTCCTCCTGTTTCCATCCTCCTCTCTTCCCTCCATCTCCCTCCCTCTCCTCTCCCTATCTCCTTACAGGAGGTGCGAGTGAGAGTTGAAAGGTGTGACTCGAAGACGCGCTCTGTCTTTGTGACACAAAGGGGGGCGGATCTGGAGGACGAGGAGAGGGTGGAGAGAAGGGAACAGCTGCAGGTGGGTTCCTGAACTGCAGGAGGAGTTTTGAGGCGTCTCAAAACACTTCTTCAATCAAGTGCGTGCAGGTCGTTGGAATTGGGAGGGAGCACAGTAGAAGCACCCTTGTGACACAAAGGGGAGCGGATCTGGAGGAGCAGGAGAGGGTGGAGCGGAGGGAGGGAGCAGGTGCAGGTGGCTCACTGTGATTTCTCTTAGAAATCAAAAGGAAAACTCAGATGCAACAAGCTGACTAGAAATTCGCCACATTCCAATGAGGCAGGTTTGGTCCTTAAAATTCTATAAGCCAGTGTGAGCCAGTGTGAGCTATTCACTTTCCCTGGCTCGTACTTACTTCCTTGCTCCCCTCTCACTGTCACGTCTGAAACGTCTGCTTCTTGCAATGGGTTAATCAGAGGTGACAAATCTTTGCTGAATTTAACAGTCAATATTGGGTTTGGTTCATTTCAAAGGCACGTCTCTTGCTCGTATCTCCCTCGTATCTCCTTCCACGTTACTCACTCAGTCTCTTCAACCACTCGTGTATGCATGCATGTATGTGTGTTGCTGTGCCCCTGCCTTCTCGCTTCCATCTGTGCATGTGCATGGCTGCATGGCATGGCTTCACCGCATGGCTGCATGGCATGGCATGGCATGGCATGGTATGGCATGGCCACATCAGCACCGGCTGGAAGCTGGGGATGTTGTAACGTCCACAGTGGTGTACATCGGTGACATGAACATGACCGTTCAGGTATGCTCTAATCGCAGATCATGGTTTTTTCTTATTATGTAGTGCATGTAAGCGTAGTTGTTGTAACGTCCACAGTGGTGTACATTGGAGACATGAACATGACCGTCCAGGTATGAGCGCATATGCATATTTGTTGCTTACAGTTTGCTGATACCCATATCAAAAAAGGCTTGATCTCTTTTTTTCTCTCTTTGTTTTTTCTTTATCTCGTTTCCTCATCCGCCCCTCTCCTCATTCTCCCTTACCCTCATCTGTGCCTTTCCTCATGTGCCCCTTTCTTTATCCCCTGTCTCCTGTGTGTGCCACGTGTCACACCCTCACAGGTGGACGGAGTCAACGTCATGATCCATTATGACAGTATCCGGCAGCTGAAGCAAGGACCAGTGGACACGTGGCCCTTCCCCATTGGCCATGTAGGTCCACACATCACACCTGTGTGCTTGCTTGCTTTCACATCAAGCACTTAACACATTCCTGAATGCTAAACTCGAAACCGTTAAACCTCTACACTTCAAGCATCAAACACTGAAAGCCCAAAACCCAAGCACAACCTCAAAGCCTTAAACCTTTCAACTCTAGCCTTCAAACCACACCAGTTCATCCCATTCACATCAGATGTTCACTTCCTATGAGGCGCCTCAAACGACGTCTTTTAAGGCGCTTCAAAATTCATCCCAACCCGAAAGCCTTAAACCTTTCAACTCTAGCCCTTCAAGCCACACCAGTTCATCCCATTCGCATCAGATGCTCACTTCTCAATATGTGCTTGCCCATATGTTCACGCTCGCATCATATGTATGTATGTGTAAACACAACTGGGCTGGGCTTAGGTCAGGGTTCAACGTTCAGGGTTTAGCCACAGCAGCGGCAGTGGCAGTGACAGCAGCAGCGGCAGTGGCAGTGGCAGCAGCAGCGGCAGTGGCAGTGGCAGCAGCAGCGGCAGTAGCAGTGGCAGCAACAGCGGAAGTCTCTTCCCTCTCGTTTCGCTACCCTTCCTTCCTCGCCGCTCCTCCCCTCCGTCCCTCACACCTGCCAGTCCCTGCCGGTGCATGTGCTCTGCAGCAAGCCAGATGCAAGCGTTCGTATTTGAGGCACCTCAAAAATAGTCTCCCCCCTCCTCTGCTCCCTCTGTCCCCCCCTCCTCCGCTCCCTCTGTCTCCCCCCTCCTCCGCTCCCTCTGTCTCCCCCCTCCTCCGCTCCCTCTGTCTCCCCCCTCCTCCGCTCCCTCTCCTTCAAACCCCTCATGCACCGGCCAGTCTCTGCCAGTGCACGTGCTTCGCAGCAAGTCAGTCCAAAAGCGCCTGCTCGTTGCACTGGAGCCACCCTTTCCCAACCTCCCTTGTGTTTTTCCCCTCTCTCCCTTTCGTACCCTGCCCGC